AAAGGTAGAGTGAAGCTTTTTGTACTCTCCCCCTAAATCCGACTGAATAGAAAGTATTTTCTGAGAAAACGAGCGCTCAACAAGTGACCGAAACCGTTCAAATATGGAATATATATCGTTTTAAGCGCATCGGATAAAACCAAATAAAACGGGTAAAGTCATCCACAAACAGAACAAAGTAACGAAAACCATTCACAGAGTGCACAGGCGCAGGGCCCCAAATATCATTATAAACCAATTCTAATACACGAGTAGTTTTAGTGTCAACACGAGGCAAAGGAAAACGGGATGACTTCCCTAACTGACACGAAGAACACAAACGAGATAAATCACTAGAATTAAAACTGCTAACACCAGAAGACTGCAAAATCTGACGAAGAACCCGAGTATGAGGGTGACCAAGCCGCTTGTGCCACGTAGAAGACGAAGCACGCGCAGCAACATAAGCAATAGAACGAGCAGAAGACGCAGGCCAGGAGTATAAGCCACCAGAAGTTCCCCCCTTAAAAACCACCTCCCTGGTCAAGAGATCCTTCACAAGAAAACAGTCAGGATGAAACTAAAAAAAGACACGATTATCTTTAGCAAAGCGTTGAACAGAGATCAAAGAGGAAGACAAACCAGGAACATGCAATACATCATCTAAACGAAACACCCTAGAAGACGAGGCTATCAAAGTAGACCCAACACTAAAAATAGGCATACCTTCACCATTGCCGACTCGAAGAGTGTCCGAACCGTCATAACCTGCCGAGGACATCAACTGAGAGGAATCAGGGGTGGCATGATTAGTAGCCCCCGTATCAGGAAACCACTGGTGAGAGTCAACTGAACCACCCTCACTACCAGAAAAAACCACATTAGCCTGAGGACCGGACGACGCAGAATAACGGCGCCAACAATTCACCGCCGAGTGCCCAATCGTGTCACAAATCTGACAACGCACATCCGAGCGACCACGGCCACGGCCCCGGCCGCCGCGACCACGACCCCGTCACTGCCCGGACTGCCGCTGCCCGAACCACTGCCGCCGGAACCCCCACTGCCCGAGCCACCTCGGGAGAACCGGCCTCCGCCACGATCGCCTCGGCCACCATGATAGACGGTCAAGGTAGCCGGCGCACCAACCGTACCATCACCTGCGCAGATATATTCTTGAGAAATTAAATAATCGGAAAGATCCGAGAGAGTTACCGGGTCACCACGAGTCAACGGAGCAACAAGCGGGCGAAGATCCGATCGCAGTCCACGAAAGACATAAATATTCTGCTCATCAAGAGGAACCGGACGCCCAGCAAGGGCCAAATCTTCCACCAAAATCCACGCCCGATTCAAATAATCAGAAACCGAAGAGGCTCCCTGCGACAAACGCTGCAGCTCACTGAGCAGACGAACCGCGCGAGACCGCGTTGCCAAGCCGAGCTCTTGCTCAATCGCCAACCACAACTCATGCGACGTCGGCCGGCCCACCGCCAACGGGAGCATCTCGTCCGACAGGGACGAGATCAAGAGAGACAGGACAGCCTTGTCCTGCCGGCGCCACTGCACCATCGGCGACGCTACTGCCGAGGCAGCACTGCCGCTATCCGCCGTCGATGACTCCGGCGAGGCGGCCACCGGAACATTCCACCGAGCCATCAACAAATCCCAACACCCCCTGACCTTCGAGGAACGGGAGCATCTGGGTACGCCAGAACAGATAATTGTGAGCGGTGAGCTTGATCGACACAAAGTGATGAGCACTGGACAAGCTCGGAGATGGATAAATGGGGGTGGAGGCAACCTCGGAGACGGTCGGTTCAGAAGAATCACGAACAGATCCATCGTCATTCCTACCCAAAGCTGGCATGGAAAGAAACCTAGATATGATACCAGATGAGGAGTGTATTGATTAACTGAAACGAATAATAGTCTGTACAATACTAATATAGAAGAGATAGAAGACAAGTATAAAGAGTTCTACTAGACTACTAATACTAGAGTCCTAACAATCCCTCTCTCTCCCCTCTCCTCCAACACATCATTTTTTTCTTAAAATCTGTGTAAAATTCCCCTATTGGGGATAGCCTTATTGGGTAATCAAATCTTAGATAGTGTTTTAAAAATTTCTCAACCAAACAATGTGTATGACTTTCATTCTCATTCTCTCTTCCCAACTTTTACTCTCACATTCAAATTTTAAAATTTTGATTTAGACACTTATACTAGGGTCACATTTAAAAAAAAATGATCTATCAATTCATGCTTGTCACATCAGTGAGTAAATTGAGGCAGTAAAAATTAAAAGCACATTTAGTAAAACTCTGCTCAAACTAGAGTCGTAAAAAATGAGTTTAGCTTAACAGGCTCTAAGTTTTATATCATGTCCTGCCAAATGGCGGATTTGGTGGGCCCATAGAGCTTCCTAGTGTGTATATTTGTGTGTCTGTGAGAGAGAGATTTTAATCATAAGGGAACCACTTCTCAGATGAGAACTTGTGGACAAATACAAACCATTGATTTGCAAGATCTTATGGATGCGAAATCAAGTAAAAATTGAGCAGCCAACGACTTTGTGGTCTAGTCGCATTGACTCTTTCAAATGGGAGATCATGGGTTTAAGCCCCAATGAGGACAATATTGACTATTTATACTTCAGTAGGTTGAGAAAAGTAGGGATGACAATTTGTCCCGTCCTCGACGAGAATCCCCCATCCCCGCCCCGACATGGACGGGGATCACACACACACACAGATACATATATATATATATATATATATATATATATATATATATATATATGTATATATATATATATATATGTATATATATATATATATATATATATGTATATATATATATATATATATATGTATATATATATATATATATATATATGTATATATATATATATATATATATATGTATGTATATATATATATATATATATATATATATATATATATATATATATATATATATATATATATATATGTATGTATGTATATATATGTATACATATATATATATATACATACATATATATATATATATATATATATATATATATATATATATATATATAATTTTTAAAATTAGTACTTAAGTTTAGTTTTTAAAATTAAAAATTATAATAATTTAAATATCTGACTAAGAGTTGAAAGGGGACGGTTCCCGTCCCCGCCTAATTTCCCGCGGGGACGTGGATGGGGATTATTTTCAATTTCCCGTCGGGGATGGGGACGGGGTTGCCATCTCTATGATTGAGTAGTATTCAAAAAAAAAAAAAAAGTAAAAATTGATCGGGTCATTTTTGTACATATTACAAATTTTTAAAATGAGCGAGGCCATTTTCATAAATATTACAAATTTTTATTTATTTTGAACTCTTAGATCTACTAGATCAATGGTATGGATTTGTCTACAGGTTCTCACTCTGATTATATATATATATATATATATATATATATATATATATATATATATATATATATATATATATATATATATATATATATATATATATATATATATATATATATATATATATATAGTGTTCGTATGTGAACAGTGTTTTTTGTGCCGTTGGTACGGATTGCACCATTATGTATGCATAAATGTTCAATTGTCTAAAAATACATCATTATGTATGCATAGACGGAGGCAGTATGGGGGCAGTGGGGGCAGCTGCCCCCACTCCCCCACCTCACCCCTTTATATATATGTATGTATATATCGACATATATAGCATTAAATGTTACTCCCTCCGTCCCGAATTGGTTGTCTCATTTACTTTTTGCACGCTTTTTAAGGAATTAAAGTAAATGTTATGTATTTTCCAATTATGCCTTTCACTTTTTCACTTTTGGAAATAAAAGCAAAAGTCATAAGGATAATTTGGGAAAAAGTAGAATGATGGTGATGTTCAATTTTGGAAAGTGGACAACATTTTGGGACAAACTAAAAAGGAAAGTAAGACAAACAAAATGGGACAGAGGGAGTATATAAAATTTATATTTATGTTTGATTTATTAATAGTTAGAGTAGCTTAGTTGTTTGAGCTTTAAATTTAATTTTTAAAAAAGTGTATGGTTATAGGTTCGAATCTCATTAGAAACACTTTTCTATCTTCACTTATTTATTTTATATCTTTCATTCCTTCTCAAGATAAATATTTTTTAGCCTACTTTTATGAATCATTTAATTAACAAATTAAATGCTCTTTTAGTCGACTTTTTATGAATCATTTAATTAATGTAGAGTTTATATTATGCTTCATTTTATTCAAATTATTTTACATTTTTACCTCACTCAAGTATACTTTTTTGCTCTGATTCTAACTATCGTTTAATCTATCAAAAAATTTCTATTGTAATTTATAATATATTTTATATTTTAACCTTATTATGATTGTTTGATATTTCGTAATTGATATTGCTAACTGTCATTTAAACTTCGCCCCCGCTCAAGTATTTTTCTGGCTCCGTCCCTATATGTATGGTGTATTTTTTGGGTGTGTAGTACATTTTGTGGTATTTTATTCTGATGTATTTTCGAACACTGTATGATGCATTTATATATACATAATGGTGTAATCTGCACCGACCGCACGGGAAGCACCGTTGATACAAGAACCCAAATCCATATATCTGTGTTTTTTAAAAATTTGACCATGCATGGCCCACAGGCTTTGACAGGCCCTGCATGCTTCACCGGCGGCCCACTTTAAAGGGTCTAACTTTAACAAACAATAATTACATATATGTAACTAGATGTGATTGAGAGATGAACTCAACAATGCCTATCAAATCTGTTTATATATGTAAAGCCAAATTTACACTCACAAAAGCATTTTTATTTACAAAACAAGAACAACAGAAAAGTGCAGATGGAGAGAGTGAGAGTGACATCAATATATATAATGGTCTGTATTCAAACAGAACAACTAACCTAACTGAAACGCAATAAAAGCAAAACAGACAAACACACCACACCACACCCGGTCGTAGCAGATACATATGTATAATAATGCTACTGTTTTATTCACAGCAAATTAAATTTGATACAAACAACACATCATGATATGAGGGACCATCATTCCACAGTCGACACTTCCCACAACTTGTTTCATGTGCATTTAATAAACACGTGATCGATCGCTTTGCATGCTACCATTTCTTCTCTCTCTCTCTCTCTTTCTTTCTTGCACAACATAAATTATGTAACATCACTCGATCTTAGCTTCTTTTGTATTAACCTAATCCATTAATTTCTAGGGTTTTCATCATCCCTTTTATCCATTCAAAAGTGAAAAGGAAAATATTATATACTACTCCGTATAAGATCAGACAAGAACAGAACAGCCCAGAGAAAGTGTAGTTCTATGGTGCTTTGTTGTGGATGGGTGTCTTGCGATGGGGTTGTGCATAGTCCATAACTACAACGTCTTCCACCGGTTCATCTTCGTTAGATTTCACTGTTTCTTCTGTGTTATGTGTCCCCGGAGATTCTAAGATTGACCGTGCTTGACTTTTTGAGTCCTGAAAATAAAGAATAAAACCTGTTATACATGATCATTGGTCAATGTGTTATCTTTTGAAACATTATAAATACATAATTTATTAAGTATATTATATATAATTTCAATATCAGATTAATCATACGCTCCGAATAATGGCACACTAATTAACTACTCTCACTCTTGCATTCTTAGCAGATAGCATGCATCTTAATTAGTTCATTTTCATTTTGCACTTTTGTTGTAATCTAAGACTCATTTTCTCTCGGTTATTTCCAGTCCTAGAAAATCTGTGATTTGCAATGAAAACTCGCTATAAACATGGCGCAAATTAAGAAAAAGTGTTAAAATTAAAGACTATCCTCTTGGATTGTTCATGGCATGCAAAAAAATTTCTAGGCAAGTATATTTGGATGCATGATATATCATGTTGAGCTTATCATTTATTTGATCAGTTGGCCTTAATTTCTCTTATTGCACGTGGTGGGGATACTGTATTTGACTCCCATAGAGATCGAGAGAGAGAGAGAGCTAAGAGTTTAATTACCCTAAAGTTGAGTTTCTCTTGCAAAACTTGTTCATTTTTGGCCTGGAAAATTTCTGCCATGTGAAATTCCTCCTTTATTGGAAGCTTTACAGCCTGCACGAAACCTAATACTGTTAGTCCAAGCTAATATATATAATGAATGACCTATCAGCATAATAGTAAAAAGTAGTTCCAAGGGTGCGATCCCAATTCAGGAAGCTAGAATCACAAAGAAATAAACCAGCCTAGCTAGGTTCATTGTTTACAGTTGACCAGCTCAAACCAAGACAGTTAATACTGAGACTCAACTTATAACCTTATGGTTACCAAACTAACAGACCAACTTGGCTGGGGTTGGGTTCGAATTGAACCCTTGTACTTGAGCAAACGTCATAAGGTATATAATAAATTTGGGGATGGATCGGAGTTTCAAAAAAGAAATTGGGATTTGATTACCTTGTGAGAGAGGTGCAGTAGATAATGTTGGGAATGATTGATTCCGAGTGGTCGAGAAGCGCATGCATGCAGAGAAAGAAAGAGGAGAAGATAAACAAGAAAAGGCATAGTGATAACAAATAAGGTGCAGAAAGAATTGCAGGGTGCTGGGAATTGAATAGGATGATGATGGTTGGGTGATGGGTGAATATAAGTAGGAAGAAATTGGAGGCAGCATTAAATGCAAGAGAACATGGAGTTGCTAGGCTGCCGGACCTTGAAAACAAATTCCAAGATCTTCCAGGCCTCCCATGTCTCCCTACCTCGCTCAATCTCCTTCCACTTTCTTTAATTTATTCAACTTTGGGTCCCATATATCAAACCTACATTTTATCTATCTATCTATCTATCTAAGCTCGCTTTCAAACTTAGCTTCCTTAATCAATCATCTGCAACCCAAATGTAATACATACTAACAATTAAGCTAGCTATCTCCAGTTACGTTGCAGAACTACTGGAACAGATGACAAGCTAGCATTCATAATCTTCTGGCTAGCTTATATGTAGCTAGATTTAATTTCCTGCATGGCTTCTTAATCTTCTTCTCGTAATTCTATTCTATCTAGCTACTCCAACAATATATTATCCTTCAATCTTAACATCTAGATTTTACTATATATATATATATATATATATATATATATATATATATATATATATATATATTTGAACCCGTTGTCCGTTGATATGCCGTAGAGTAGTATTTGATTGTTGGCTTAGCCTCTGCTGTGCATTCCCATACAGAATTCCGTGCATTGCTATACAGAATGCCGTGCATTGCTATACAGAATGCCGTGCATTGCTAACGCACATTAGCTTGGTCCATGTTGTGCATTCATATTACTTTGATCGTGCATTCGTACGAATATTGTGCATCGATAACTCTTGATTGTTCATTCAAGCACAACCCCACATCCTAAGATGGATATCCCAATATCCTATGATATGCACAACACGGGGTTGCACGCCGGAAACGAACGGGAAAAGAGAGCAAAGTCGTGACACGGTTACAATGCTAACAGAACGAAAAATTATTAATTAAAAGCACCACTTATAATGAAATATGATAACAAATATTCAAAATGCCTCCAACTTTAAAAAATTGCCAAATAATTAATATATCAAAAAAAATAATAATCATCAATCTCACAAAATCAACCGCCACAATTAGACCACACATTCACACACACACTAGCATTTTATACGCATTATCCATGAAAATTCATGTCTAATATTAAAATATTGATAAATAAAAATAATTAAAATTTTAGTTTAAATTATATTTTACACTTCCTTAATGGTAGTAAATTTTAATCATCATATTTCAAAATTATAGAGGAGAGAGAGAGAGGCAGGGAGAGAACAAAATAATTATATTTTGTTTAATAATAATGTAAACAATTTTGATAAGTTTTATACTCTATTTTTAAAATATGTATATATAAATAAATAAAATATCTATAATACTAAGCTAGTACTCACATATATTGGTATATATACACAAATAAAATATGTACTAAATACACAAACATATATAATTTACCATTAATAGAAATTTAACTAAAATATATTCTACAATTAAATCCTTTAAAAAAACAATATATTCTACAAATAAATTAATTATATAATATTTTTAATAAAATAATAATTAAAGAATAGGAAAAAGATATGATATATAGGTATAGCCGTATAGGTGTATGGTAATAATGATGGAATTATCAATGTTAGAATTAAATACTAGCTAACGGAGTTACGTTATAACAGTGTAAGGGTAGTTTTGTCTAACAAAAAATATAGTAGAGATAATTTTGTCTAATAAAATTAAAGTGTACAATATTTAAAGTAAAATGTATATATGCCTTTATTAGCATAAAAAAAAAAAAATACACATGCATGTGTGTATGTATTGTTGAAATATTATTGATGGATCGGAGATCTCATCTCATTTTCTGATATTATTGATAATAGTGTATTGTTTATTTGAGAAAAATAAGAAAATTATGTTACTATGCATAGTGTTATTTGTATGAGCAGGATACCTTTGTATGTCAAGGAACCTTGGCTGAGAATACCAGATTAATCCGACAATAAATTATATGAAATAAAATAAAATTGGATGACTAGGACTATGTGGTCTAATGGTACTTGGGTTGGACTTCTATTTGGAAGGTTGTGAGTTTGAGCCTCAGTGGAGGCCTTATTGGTTCTTTGTGTTTCGGTAGATTAAGAAAGTGGAGGCGTTATTGGTTTTTTGTGTTTTGTGTTTCAGTAGGTTGAGAAAGTATATGAACAGATATTACAATGTAATAGAGCCAGTACAGATATTACAATGTAATAGAGCCAGTAGCATTCAAAAAAATAAAATTGGATGGCTTTCTTGATTGACTTTTTTTTCATTTTATAATGTGCATTTAACACTGCATTTTAGACGATAAATGTCATGTTCGAATTTGTACAAAATTATATATATATATATATATATATATATATATATATATATATATATATATATATATATGTAATTTAATACTCCGGTAATTAACATGTAATTATCTTTCAAGTCGTTTTTTTTTTTTTTTTTTTTTTTTACAACACAATAAAAAATTTTGGAATGTACAACACAATATAATAAAAATGAGCAAAAGTGTAAAACAACTATATGAAACAAGTTCGCGTCATCTTAATCACATATATATGCCATCATAATTCATAAGGGAGCAAATGACATTTGGAGTTCCATCAAAGGTATAAAGCCCAAGGTTAATAAAGATGAGCATGTGGATGGCAAAAGATGTGATTTTTTTTTTTTTAAAGTTACTCTATTACATTGTAATATCTGTTAATTTAGACTTTTTCAACTTGTTGAAGCACAAAAGAGTTAACATCACCCCTACTGAGGCTTAATCTCATGACTTCTCATATAAGAGAATCACGTCATCTGAGCACAAGGTGCTTGACAAAGATGTGATTATTTAGTTTGAACAAAAACTGACTTCACATTGAATGTGTCTCACAAATCACGTTTAATCTCTATTCAATGATCCACTAATAATAGCCTTTCGAACAAATGGAGATGGGGGTCTTTCTCATGAGTTGTTATACAATGGACCAGAGACTACACATATTGCAAGGTGGACTCTGGTCCTAAACGACGTATAAATTGTATACTTTTAACATTGAAATTGTGAACTTTTAGAATATAAATTGTGTGTTTATGTCAAAACATGGGAAATTTGTAAATACAATACAAGGTCATCAAATCTTAATCTGTTAATATTGTGTGACTACTGTATTTGAAAGGAACTTGTGAATATAAAACAATGTAGTTGATTACATATATGTTAACATTGTGTGTTCGTAGTATACAAATTGTGAATTTTTAAAAGATAAATTGTGAACATTTGGTCCGTCTTGTTTGATTTTCTTTACATAAGAATATAAGAGTTAATTCCACCAGAGGTTCATTGTCTTTGGTGGCAATTCCAAATTTAGTCTCAAACTATCATTTTGCCATTTAACATCCCAGACTATTATTTTTTGGACAGTTTTAGTCCTTCTCATGACTTTTCATATTTTTAGTAAGGACATTTTTGTCTCTTCATATTTTTCTTTTGTTATTTTTTTGGTTTCAACCGGTTTAATTGGTTTAGGACTTTACTAAAAACCAGTTGAAAAATATGGTTACTAAAAATCATATGCTACCTAAAGTTCTAAACCAATTAAACCGGTTGGAACCAGAAAAATAACAAAAGAAAATATGAACAGACAATAATGTCATCACTAAAAATAGGAATAGTCATAAGAAGAACTAAAAGTGTTTAAAAAATAATAGTCTAGGATATTAAATGACGAAAATAATAATCTCATACTAAATTTGAAATTACTACCAAAGACAATTAACCTCTGGTGAAATTCACTCTCTAAAACTACTATTCTAAACTCTTTATTCCAACAAAAGAATTGATGAACTATACGTGAGTTAATTAGATATATTCATATCAAATAGTACATATAATATATTATATAGTTCATACAGTTAAGTAACATTATTTATTTGGATATGTTTTGATTTGTCAGGGAGAAAAGGAATTCATATGACTTTGGTACATTAAGACCATATCTCCACTTTGGATATATATATATATATATATATATATATATATATATATAGACAAGGGATCACGTGCGAAACTCTCCCAAGTGAAACATACAAATTAATCTTAGCCATTGGTCTTGTCAAAATCAACAGCCCAAAATGAACATAAATTTAAAAAACGTACAGTGACATTATGGTAATTTTACGTATTATTGAAAGGTTAAGGTTTGTCATTTTAACACTTAAGGTGCGCTGTTTTAACACTTGAGGTGCGTAAGTTCTACACTTGAAAACTTAAGATGCGTAATTGTAAAGCTTTGGTGCGTATTTTCAAAGCTTAAGATGCGTCATTTTAACACTTAAGCGTGTTATTTTGACACTTAAGGTGCGTCAGCTCTACACTTAAGTGCGTCAGTTCTACACTTAAGGTGCGTCATTTTAACACTTAAGGTGCGTCATTTTAAAACTTAACATGCGCCATTTTAACAATTAATGTGTCATTTTTAACATTGAAAATGCACCATTTTAACTCTTAAGATGCACCATTTTAACACTTAATGTGCGTCATTTTAACACTTAATTTGCTCTATTTTAACACTTAAGGTGCGCCAATTCAACACTTAAGGTGCGTTAAGGTGCATCGGTTCAACAATGGTATGAGGAGAATGCATCCAGTACTCAAGAAGCGCGTTTTTTTTTTTTTTTTAAATTTTCATTGATTTGATCTGTTGATCTAGATTTGATCAATGCATGGCTCAGTTCATCTTTCATTTGGGACACTCTTCGCATGTGAACCATCCCATATATAAGATCATATATATGTGGACTGTGGTAGCTTCCTCACTTGCAAACATGCGGTCAATTTTGAACCATTGGATGAGCTTAGATCAACGATTGAAAATTAATGAAAAGGTGAAAAATGACAGTGGTATTTTTATAATTTTGTGCACCATGTATATTTATGTGGTGCACGAAGTGTTAGTCAGTGGTGCACTAAGCTTTTGTCTATGATGCACTAAGCATTGGTCTCTGATGTACCACTAAGTGGCTGAAAATCAAGAAAAGGGAAAAAAACGCAGTGACAATTTTGTAATTTTTACACCATGTATATTTCAGTGGTGCAACATTAAATGCTGGTCTGTGGTGTACTAAGCCCTGATTTGTGGTGCGCCACCAAGTGGCCTACAAAAAGGAAAAAAAATATGATGGACTCAATAAACCTGTTGAGTAGTATCGTTGGACCAACGAGTTTGTTCAACAGGTCTATTGAACTTGTTGATGATATGTCCCATGGTCAACGGGTTTGACACCCCCATTGAGTGGTGCACTAAAGGTTGGTCTGTGGTGCACAAATGGTTGTTCTGTGGAGCACTAAGGTTTAGTCTGTGATGCACACGAGAATACTTGATGGTGGATTAGACTCAAAGCACCACCAAGCATATTTAAATGTACCAGCATATATCATTGAAATTATCAAAATGTCATAGCGTTTTTCTCATTTTTATTAATTTCTAAACATTGATCTAAGCTCATCCAACGGTCTCGATATGTTTGTCCGTCCGCACGGGAGGAGTCATCCGCATAAAAATCAGATTATATATATATATATATATATATATATATATATATATATATATATATATATATATATATATATTGTGTGTGTGTGTGTGTGAAGGGTATTTTGGACATTATAATACAAAAGTTATTAGCCAAAGCATGGGAATAGTTAATACTAGGGCCCCCTAGCAATACTATTCCCCTGTGATGGGAGTAACTCACTCCCAAGACAAAAAGGTCAAGACAAACAATGAAATAGGTTTATGCGCAGGAACGTTATTCCATTTTCAACCTATTTCATGAACTAAACATGTTTTAGTATATGCCTCTAAGTTATTATCAATCAATTTAAATGTTTAGTTAACATAGAACGTGTAATTCAATAATAAGCACGGGATATACAAGAATATTTCAAACACATAGCGAGCTGAGGCATAAAAACATGTAGGAGAAAGAATGGAGCAAAGTTATGGAGAGACCAGACCATAGGCTGTGGTGCAGCTTGACAAATGTTTAAATCATATGATCACAACTAGAGACACACACACATTGAGAACCCATGTGAAAAACTTTGCATAGGTCTTAGAGTAGGGGGGTGTGTACCTTCAAATTAGTAAGCAAATGGGACCTTAGGGGAATGGGAGTTGGGACCATAGTCAGGGATTCAACTCAATTCCATATATGAATTCATGCATGCTGTGGGGGGCAGACCAAGCAGCATGGCATAACCACTACACGACAGGACATGGAGGCCCAATCAACCTTCCTTCGCCACGTGTCCTCTCCTATCTCCATTCATGTCGACACAAATTACTCTTTAGCTAGTCTGCTCATTTAAGAAACTGAAAAGTTACCCGTCAGACCGGAATGTGAAGTTTTTGAAGGTGAGAAATTTCGTCTTTTTGAAAGGTGTAAATTTAGTATTTCTTCCATCACTTATTAGTCCCTTTATTATATCGTGTAGTTCCAAGTCCCTTTATTATATCGTGTAATTCCAAGTTTCATTCAAATCCGTCATGATTCGCTTTCGCTTTTTCAGTCGGCAAACACTTTGCGTGAAAAGAATTGTTTTACAGTGTTGTAAAAATCAATCTAGCCGCCACATAAGCGCTAAGCACCTTTAAACCAAGGCAAAAAAAAAATGGAGTCAGCCAACTCAGCTTTGAACTTAGTAAAGTTGGCCGAAACTTTTTATTTTTAATTGGTTTTTCATAAAACGTCATTTTGACTTTTGAGTGAATTTTTTTTATTAAGCGACCGCCTAGGCACCCTGGCGCTTGACTAGCGCAACATTGACCTCAATTAATCCGAGACTAATTACAACCAAAACATTTGACATCAACATTAACACCTCCTGTCTGTGCAATGTCTGTTCCTTCCCCCTTTCTCCAACAATGTCGTTTTCAATCTATGTTCCGGCCGGGAACTCGTATTTACAGGCACCAAACTGGCCCCCAGTTTCAGTAAAAACACATGTACAATTATAAATTATTCGATCACACCAACACAATAAACACAAGCTGTCAAACAAGAACACGGGGAGGAAGAACGTCGATTCCAAATGGTTATTTATGATAATAGGCCAGTTGATTTCGGCACACTTGGTAGGGTAGTCCGCAACTATACAGGGATATTTGCTATACATAAAGTGTTAACAGTAAAAGTAACAGTGATGATTTTATTCACAATCTTATCGCAGTGGAAATGGTGGAATGGCTTGAGACTGAATCTTGTAGTGGCTTTAGACCGGGATATGGTCCCCGAATGTGTTCTCTCCGCTGTAGGTAACATAGAGAAAACCGTCTTCGTCCTTCTTCTCATCGTAAATTGCAGACATGATTGCCCCTGAAAATAGAAATTAGCAGAGGCACACAATCTCGTCATATCAGATTTCTGTAGATATGGCATTCAACTAGTCCACTACTTGTGACGCTTATAGAAACTAGAGTTAATGCCATCTGGAGTCCTCCGAGTATAATGATTTTGCCACGTTTAGTCTTAAACCTTCAAGTTAATAACCACCCCTGGTCCTTCAATTTTCAAAATTTTACCCGTCGTGGTCCTTCAACTTTCAAATTTTAACCAATCGTAGTATTTTTATGAAAGGACCACAGTTGATTAAAATTTGTCCGTTAAAGGACCACGGGTGGTTAACTTGAAAGTTGAAGGACCTCAGTTGGTTAAAATTTGAAAGTTGGAAGGACCACGGGTAATTAATTTGAAAGTTTAGGACTAAACATAAAATCCCTATACTCGGAGGACCCTAGATGGCATTAACTCTAGAAACTAACTATTACAGAGATGGTTAAAGTTCAAGCACGTACCCGTTGGTGGAAGCACATTGTCAACAAATATGAAAATTGCTTTCTCCGCACTCAATTTGATTCTTTTGCGAATAACATAAACAAACTGCCCTACTGTCAAGTCAGCTGGGACGAGATACCTGTAATTTTGCCAGTCAGACAACTGAGAATATCTAAACCCTCACATATAAAATACAACCATGCTACAAGAGAAAAGACAAAGCGGGAGAAAAAGCCTCCATGATGATGTAGTGGCACGGAGTGAAGAAGCAAAAATAATGCAACTTTACAGTAGAAAAGCTTCTCGAGGCATTCGCTTTCTTTAACAATCTAATGCTCACTGTGTTGGGAGTATCCTTGTGTTACAACCATAGTGTTGTTATAGTTATTATTATTATTATTATTATTATTATTGTAGTAGTGGGATGACCACTTTCTTAGGTAGTGGGTAGTTTTATATTATTTTGAATATATATATAGATATCTATGTATTTGCAGAAAGGGGACTTTGGAAATGGATAATTTTGGCTTTCTGTTAAAGGAAAGATTGGGGGAAGAAGCACTCCAGAAAAGCTTCATTTTTCATTCTTAAGTTTCTAGGCCTATGACGCGATCCTAGATATCTCGGTCCATAACACCTTGTACTCGACATGCCTTTATTCTCTAGCATAGATAAAATATGCCTTCTTCAGAGCATTAATGCCCTTAGCAAGCAAAAAAACATCAAACTACAGCTGAAATCAGAGTTTTCTATTCTTAAAGTTGCTTTCCCATATCGGTCTTTGTTATAATCTAAGATTGGGCCAAGGTCACTCAACTGGGCTATAATGTACATGGGCCAAACCACACTAAAAGACTAAATCCAATCAATTAGTGAGTCTAACCCATGTCCTTATAAACCCGTATGTTCTCTCTTACATTTCCAATGCGGGACTGTTAACAGTCTTGTATAACCACACTGGATTAAAGGTGCTGATTGGCAAGAATATCAAATTGCCTTCTCAAAGTCCTCATGCAATAACTATCTGGCAATAGTCAACTAGTGCAGAAATCGTAATTCTCTTTTTCCTTTTCTTGCTCCCCCCTTGCCCATTGATGTTTTATACTTTTATAACCAAATCCAATGAGTTAATATGTCTATATCTACATTCAACAAGAAACTATTTCCATAATTGATTCAATGAGTTACTATTTCTACAACAAGATGCAAGGAATAATAATGAATTCACTGCCCAGAAACTCAAAGGCACTTCCATGGCTATATAGAGTAGAAATACATAAAAATGCAGATAGAAGTAAGGCTTACTTTTTCTTGTCAATGTTAGGAATATCACTTCTTTCTGCCTTCTCAACGATCACCTTCACAGCACAGAAACAGATTTGCATAAGAAATATGAGATAGCAAAGTTACTATGGATAAAATTGACACCCTACTCAAATGTATAATTACATTTACTACTTAAACAACTATTCTAATTTCACAGCCAAAGAAATACGCAAACAGAGGTTACAGCTGGTGTAGGCACAAACCTTGATCATTACAGGGAAACATCTGAACACAGGCAAGATTCTTTAACGTTCAAAGATATTCATGCTATTTACTTTTGTAACCAGTAGTAATAGTATAATACTATAATGAATTTAACTAGTTAGAAATTCTTATAAGCCATGCACTGTTGATTGATATACTTAATTAAGGAATCAATGTTGTAGAACACGCTAGGGGCTAGGTGGCCAAGTTATAATACTCCCTCTGTCCCATTTTATGTGTGTGGTTCGGTTAACGAGACTTGACTGAAATTGTTTCTAATATAATTTTTCATAATATTAAGTTTAGTATTAGTATACAAAATTTATATATTTAGAAACTACCGTAAAAGTACTATTAAACAAAAAAAAATCAAATTTAAAAATAAGTAAAAAATACTAAAGAAAATAATCAAAGAAGAAAAAGTTAGTTTGACCAATGAATAGTAAGTAAGACAGATAAAATGGGACAGAGGGAGTAATAAGAAAAACAACACACCAAAAAAAAAAACACACTCGGCCGAGTTGGCCGACTCGGGTGCCTAGACCGCCTAGTCAATTGACTAATTGGCCGGCCGACTAATGTCCGCCTAACGGTAAAATCCCCTGGGCCTAGGGGCACCTAGCGCTTAATCGGCGCCTAGGCGGATTTTTGCAACATTGAATTGAAAAGTGGTGATAAATTAGCATCACAGTAGATGGAAATGGTGAACTTCCAGCCATTTCTAAGAGTGTGAAGTTTCATTACTTGGGAACGAGCTTTGATTGATCTCGCCAAAACAAAGCTTAAACAGCCTCAGTTGTACCCAAAAGAGGTTGTCACATCAGACAGTGGTTTCTCAATATTATGATGCTTCAAATAGAACCGACCTGAGAAGTCAACTATATCTCTTGCTACTTTACCAGTTACAAAACAAAGCCAATACAAACAGTTCCATGCAACAAACCAGACAACTAATGGAAAGTATTTTTTTTTTTAAAAAAAAAAAGTAAACAAATTTTACCCACTTTGCAGACATTTTACTCACAACGAACCAAAGCTCAGAATACAATAAAAATACAAGAATCCTGCAACACATCATCCAAAACACAGCTTCTTTTTTCTTCCCATAAAGTGAAATAGTACTCTGGTTTAAAACATATTTACAACAGTAGATTACAGGAACGATCTGTTCTATTTCAAGTGAATTAATTTAAACTGCAAATGGCAGTCCATGAAACATCCACTAAGCACAAATACAATCACAAATTTTAGTGTGTGTCTAATAAACAGCTGTATATACTTAAACACATATTTCAATCTTCAAGAGTGGGTACCAAATTGCAGCCTAAGAAAAAAGCCCAAATTCAACTCAACTCAATAAGCTATAACCCAAAATTTGAAGGGATTTTTGAGAAATCATCATCAATGATCAAAACCAGAAGTAACAATTAAATTGCAACAAATCATGAAGATGCACTCTTACCGGAATTCTATCTGGGTATTTTTCCCTAATCCTAGCCGCCTCAGCACGCCTCTTCACTGAAATACTCAAAACACAGACTCAGAAATTCAATACTATCAACACCAATCCCTTTGGTGAAAAAAAAAAATATTAAAAAAAAAAAAGTACAAACCAAGATCATGCTCTTGCTTGAATGAACTCCTTGCCATCCCACCTACAAATTGAAACCCAAAATAGTAACTTTCAATCAGTTTCACATACCAAAGCCCAAACCCAACCAAATCTTCTACTGAATTTAGCGCAAAATACAAATATCGATATTGAAAGTAAATACTTCCCAAACAATTGATCAAACCAATTAATCCCACAAATGAACAAAATCCATACTTTATCAATATCCCTACAGAACAAAACAAAATAAAATAAAAGCAAGAAGATAAATAGAATCACAGCCATCGTACCTTCTTGAAAATAATGAACGGTTGGGAAAGGGAAAAAGGAAAGATAAAGAACCGGGACGACGAGTAGATTGAGGTTGATTGAACAATGGGTTTGTATTTTCTTGGACGACCTCAATAAATAAATAAATGTAATTTATTCCATAACCTTTAATCATTATCCATCTTTTTTAGTATGTACACGAGATGCTTGCGTAGCCTCGCGTGTACTTAGCAGAAGTCGACTTCAAGCCAAATATTTGTAACTATTTCGTATATTCTTCAAGCAAGTATATATTATTAGGAAATCCGATAATATAATTATAGTTCATAATTTTTTTTTTTATCTAATACCGGAAATGAACTATTTAATCGTAAATTAATCAAAATAAAGTGCATTATTTCAATTAGGACCATTTCAAAACTTAAAAAATATTTTCTAGGAATCCGCAGAATCCGCAGAATCCGCCAATAACTGCCTCTGGACACGCATTCAGTTGGGGACACACCGACTACCTAGCAGAGTAGCTTCGCTAAGGAGGCTGAGGCACCCATATGAGGACACTCCGATAACCGAGCCTGGTCACACATACAAGTTGTCACCTCGCAGAGGATATTGGAGTTCATTTCTTTTCTCAGGGGCTCCTAGGTAGTCAGTCTCGCCCACTGAGAGACTTGGTTGTTTTTGGAGTTCGTTTCTCTCTCAGGGACTCTAGACAGTCAGCCTCACCCACTAAGGGACTTGGTTGTTTTTGGAGTTCGTTTCTCTCTCAGAGGCTCGCAAGCAGACAGTCTCGCCCACTAAGGGACTTGGTTGTTTTTTGGAGTTCATTTCTCTCTCGGGGGATAGCAGCCAGTCAGCTCGTCCACTGAGGGACTTGGGTGTTTTTGGAGTTCGTTTCTCTCTCAGGGGCTCGCAGGCAGTCAGCCTCGCCCACTGAGGGACTTGGTTGTTTTTGGAGTTTGTTTTTCTCTAGGGGGCTCGCGGGCATTCAGTCTCGCTCACTGAGAGACTTGGTTGTTTTTGGAGTTTGTTTCTCTCTCAAGGGATCGCAGGCAGTCAGCCTCGCCCACCAAGGGACTTGGTTGTTTTTGGAGTTCGTTTCTCTTTCGAGGGCTTGCAAGCAGTCAGCCTCGCCCCATTGAGGGACTTGGGTGTTTTTGGAGTTCATTTGTCTCTCGTGGGCTCGCAAGCAGTCAGCCTCGCTCACTAAGGGACTTGGGTGTTTTTGGAGTTCGTTTCTCTCTCAAGGACTCGCAGGCAGTCAGCCTCGCTCAATGAGGAACTTGGTTGTTTTTCGAGTTCGTTTCTCTCTCTGGGGCTCACAGGCAGTCCATGACAACCCAAAAATAATTTTTCTAAATTCTATTTTATAAAATCCCAAAATAGCTATTTTCACTCTTTCAAAAATTTTATTTCGAAACCGGTGTTTAAATTAAATATTTTAAATTGAAAGGAAAAAGCTGAAGCTGGTAAAAGTTTTGTGGTTCAACCTCGGAAGAAGCTACTTGGGAGACTGAGGAGAATATGCGAAGACGTTACCCGACTCTCTTTAAACAAGGTAACCGTTAAGTTTTGGAACAGTTAGTAGACTTTATCTAGTTGTTAGTTTTACTTAGCGCTTTAGTTGTTTGAGTGCTTGCTTGATACTCAGAGATTCCATTCTTTCCAAGTATTCAAAGAAAAACTCCTAAGCCAAATCTTGTAACCCTTGTTATCTTCTAGAAAGCTCCCGTTTTAAGAAAATCTGTTCGTTTAACCTAAGTTTCGAGGACGAAACTTCTTTTAAGGAGGGTAGAATGTGACAACCCAAAAATAATTTTTCTAAATTCTATTTTATAAAATCCCAAAATAGCTGTAACACCCCCCATTTTCACAACTTTTTAAAACTTAAATTAAAGGAATTAACTGTCTAATCATCATCATAAGAAAAGCGGAAGCTAAAAGACAAGTACGGGAGGTTATGCCACACCTATACATTTATAGGTGCACAGGCTAAGTCTAAACAACACATCAAAGTCAAGCTTATAAATATCCACGACTCACAGGCCAAAAGTCTAACAAAACAGTCATATGGAGCTACACTAACTAACGAACTGCTAGCGCGCTCTCCCATAAAGCTACTCAAAACCTGTAAAGCAACATAAAGATAGGGGATGACACCTGGTCAGCGAACATTGCTGGTAACCCATCAATACGCGTTAAATAACATATATACATAGTATAAGTCAAAACCATTTTCGAAACGGAATACAGTATATATCATTTCAAAATCCATAGAGAAAAGTCAACTTCAAAGACTCATACACACTCTCAACGGAAAGAGGAAAATCAGCATCCCATGACAACAACAAGACAAGAATACCAACAGTAAACAATACAACTCGAGATGTATTCTACTGATCACAAAGTATAATACATTAAGACATGCTCATTAGCAAAGATTACACATTCACACATTGGCAACTACATGCCATAGTGACAACTACATGTCACAAGATTCACACAGTTCCAACCTTATGCTCTGTTCCAACCTTATGGCTACCCCCGCCCTTATTTCAGTTCCAACCATTACCTCCTAGTGTCACCCTGTACTTCTGAGTCCAAACTTTTGCCTCCGGGGACCGTCGTCCCCCCTCCGACAATCTCTAACAAAGTCTCCGACATATGAGTACACGAGGGTACCATTAATTTCATTCACACAATCTCCAACATATGAGCCTACGCTCAGGTCACACCACCAATTTCAATCATGGCCACACGAGGACCCATTATTATCAGGAAAACCAAGGCTCCATAAGCCTTAGTCATGCTTCCGTCAAATGGCACAACAATTACACACGTTCACATCATAGGAATCAATCACTGGATCACAACAAAGATATGGAACCGTACTCAACAACGAAGGATCACAATCCGACACCAAACGATGGTCAACACAAGTTGCCACCCTCAATAGGAAAGAACAAACCGCACACACTAGCATTTCAACATTAAACTAGCATGTTTATCAAACGGGTAAACCAAAAGTAGTTCCATAGAACATACAAGACTCAACATCAATCCAACGAATCACAAAGTTGGACCAAAAGCACGATTCAAGACACCAAATCCTACATGGATTCCTAACTTAACGTTCTAGACATACGAAACATCAAGAAGACACTCAAATCGCCCAATAAAACAACATCGGGAGGTCAAAACATCAATACCGAGTCAAAAGAATCACGGGGACAAATCCCCGACACCATCCATCTGTGTTCCCCGCGGGTGGGGCCACGGGTGGACCTCCACCCGTGGTTCCGCCCGCGGGTACAAGCCCACACACCACATGTACCCCGCTGGTGGGGCGGCGGGTGGTGCGCTGCCCGCCGTTCCGCCCGCAGGTACCGACCTGAACCCAAAATAATCCCTTCGGGGATTTTCAACAAGAAATCCAAATTCAAGTCCAAAACACACAAAATCTCACACAATACAACAATATGACTTGAACCCAAGAAATAGCCAAGCAATGGCATACAATAACCCTAATAACAAGCTCTAAATATGCATTACCACAAGACAATGCATCAAATCTCACATTTCAACACAAAAATCACAAGTAGAAGCCAAGAAATCATCATATAAGTAAGAAAATAGTTTTGTAAAGCATGGGTTACCTTTGTAGCCTAGAACTTCACTTTCTCACCCTTAAAAAGCTTCTCCTAAAGCTCTTCTTCAACACCAACTTCATAAACATACCAAAAGACAACAAAGATTCTATTTTTAGAAAAAGACAACTAAAAGGATGCTAAAAACACCAAGAGATCAAGGATCTTACCCTCCCTTATGCTTAAGATTAGGAAAGTATGAATCTTGGAAGACAACTTGTAGGATTTAGGATGCCCAAATTTTTGCTTGGAGAAGAAGCTACCAAAATCCTAGAGAGAAGGTAGAGGTTTTGTGTTTAGAGTGTTGGTGGATGAAATGAAGGGATGATGCTAGGTTAGCTTGGAGCACAAACTTTAGGTAGAAAGACCCCTTTGCCCTTACTAAAGTTGGAAGAATAAGGAGACAAGGGAACAATTCAACAAGCATAAGGTACAACCATTTTACCTTGGTTGACTAGTCAAATTCTAGTCCTCCGACTATTGAATTTTCAGGATTTTACGAATGAATTTGCAATAAGACTATGATTAATTCTCTAATTAATCCTTAACTAGAGTTTGGATTCACGGGGTGTCACAATAGCTATTTTCACTCTTTCAAAAATTTTATTTCGAAAACGGTGTTTGAATTAAATATTTTAAATTGAATTCTTAAATAAATTCAACACCGAGAATATTCAATTTCGAAAATCCTAAATTTCGGGTACATTTATGTACTAATTTTTGACCCGAAAAGTCAATCTGAGTGAAACCGGAAATGAACCTGCGAAACCTGAACCAAGTGTTTTAATTAAAAAAACATTTTCTAGAAAATCTGATTTTGACCCCAAGTTATCCAAAATTCACTTTTGTAGACTTTGGTCAATGATGCAAGGTGGACTATGAGCTTTCTACACCTTGTCTGATCCTTGTAGAAAGCAAGCCAAATTCCCTTGTCACCCTCCACCAATCATTGCCTTCTCACCTAGGGTTTTGCACCCTATAAATTCAACACTGTTCATTTGTTATTCCTGATCTCTTTCCTTGCATCTCTTCCCTTGAGTTCTCTGTTGAAGAAGACAACAATTTGCAGTAAGGTTTTCTAACATTCATTCTCCTCCACTGATTCCTCTTTCCTCCTGATTTTCATCTCTTAGCCTTCAATCTCTGAGGTTTCCTCTTGTGTGTTGTTTGTGTGGTTTGTTTGAGGAGTTTAGGTAGTGAAGGTGGTGGAAGTTGAGTAGAGATGAGAAAGAGATCCACACAAGAAGAAGAACAAGCAAAGGTATAAACCATGGACTCCCAAACTACATTTTGATCTCTGTTAACTGTTAGAAATGTGGTTAGATGTGTAGAAATGCTGGATAAATGTTGTGGTTGAGCTATTTGTGTGTTGTTGAGGATCTATGATTGATTTGTTGTGCTTTAGAAGTGTTGGATTGCACTGGTTTTGTGTTTCAGGTGAAGAAGGAGGTGTCTGGTGCACACAGATGGTGCACCAGATCACCCAACG